ATAATAAAATATTCTTATTCTGTTTTAATCATTAGTTACCTACGAAGCTTTAGCTTAGAATATTAGTATCAAAAACCTGAAAAATGATGAAACTGTCTTTATAAGATTACAAACCATATTTTGAGAAATATTTTAATTGTAAATTCTTGTCTAAGACCGCCGTTAAAAATAATCTCTATGTGTATATTCCTTATATTTTAAGTATGCGAATATAAGCAATTTTTCAGTCTGTTCATACTTGTTAAAATCTATAACGTTTCCACTATTCCATAATTTAACGTCGAACCGAGAAAAACAGTACTATACGATTAGTTTTCAACCAAGAATTTAGAAAGAGGAAATCTCTTTCCAGTTAAATCGAATAGATTTGGGAGATTTCAAGCCTATTCCGACCATTCTGTCGTACGTGTTCCATCTCGAGGTGAGAAGCTGTCCTTCTATGTTAAATGCTAACACGCTTCAATACTACCAAATAGTTTCCTTCTACCTCTGTAGTTTCCTCGCCGCATTAAGCGAAGTTGAGTTTGGCGGAACTTTCCCTCTCATCTCCAATTAGGAAGAGCTGTCCACCTTTGCCCAAATAGGATGAGATTAAATTTTGACACGAAAATAATAAACCACGTTAAAAGGCTCAGCAACGGCTGCTTGCGCATCTCAGTAATCCCCATTCGAACGTTAATGCCCTCGGAAGAACCCTAAGCTATTCGGGTTCTTGAATGCGGGTGCCGTTATGTAAATTAAAGGTGTGTTTATTCTGCGATTCTCACTGCTCCACTTTGTAGGGTTTATAAGGGAAGGAATACTAATTAGTGACTCAGCAGTTTGATCACTGTTATATAAATGATATCTAAATGGTTAAAGTGATTATTTGAAAGGCTATGCAACCAGAATTTAAATGCCGTAAAAACTCTTAGTATGGATCTTTCTTTAAATAGCATCTGTCTTCCATTTATGCTTAAATAACACATTTATTTATTTATTTTGAGAGAACCTTTTCCTTTACCGTCGTAAATCTCATATCAAGTTTTATATATAATTATATATAATTAAATATAATAAAAGTTAAATAAAAATTTAAAAACTTAGGTAATGTGCTTCGATAAAAAATAAGTAATTACCATTAGTTAATTTATTTAAAAAATACCAATAATTTTTTTTATAAAATATTATGAACAAAACTCTGCAGTAATTTACAGGTAACATTATTTTGTGTATTATTATTCTAATGTAGTTTTATTATAGCTTTGTTAAATATGCAAGACTTTCTTGTAGCTGATCGTAATCTCCCCTATACATTTAATATTTGGAGTGGATTGATAAGATTCTCCAAAATATGATAAAAATTTATATATTGTAGGCATCTTTAATTGCTCTGTTTCATTAAAGTACCGTTTTCTGTGAAATATTACTACTAGCTTTTCACCTACAAATTTAGCATTTTAAATTATATTTTATTCAAAATTTGCCAGTATATCGGGCATGTTAATCCAGCTTAATATAGTGCCTCGCAATGTTAGTAAAATTTGCTTATCAAAATATTATTAATCCAAGATTTTGATAGTGTTCGCAGTCGATAAAGGCCCATGACATATGTAACCTGTTAAATCAATTGCTCTATTCAAGGCAAAGTTTTCAGAAGAAATGGCTATAATATTCATTCCTGAAATTATACAAATTATCCATGCGAAGAATGAACAAAGAATAACGACGTCAGAGATTTCCTGTATTTTACAAACCTGCATCTGCAAAATTCTTTCAAATTTCTCAAGAAAAGTTGCAGCTCCTATCTCAATTACGTTTTTCTATCCCTGTATTATTTAAAGTTTCTGGAATGCGGATACCAATTTATTAGTGCTGCTGTTTTCAGCCTAGTTTTAAATAATTATTTTAGACTCTTTGTAGCTTTGATTTTACGATTTTTGTAAATAGCATTAGGATTTTCTCGAATATTCTAAAGCAGCTTTTCCCATTCTTTTTTAACATGAGAGAATGACTCACCTAATTGTTAATGTTATGAATCCTTTACCCGAAAGTAAACTATATGCAGTTTTAAAACTTGGTTATAGGAGTCGGTTTATAATAACCTGGCATCAATTTATGTGTTTATGAATGAAAATTAAGTAAGTAGCTTATTCGTCTTGTGCAATTCCGAGTAAAGAAAATTAATTTCAAGCCAGTCCATCTGCCTAGCTCCTTTAAGAAGACACAAAATTTAATTTCTGTGATAGTAGGTTTAATTGAATTAGGTGAATGAAAACTAGAAATTGCTTTAAATTAATGATATCTGAAACCAAACCTCCCCTAAAAAGAAAACGTTTATTAAGAACATGGAAATGTAGACTTAGATGAACATCTACTAAATGACATTGCGTTCCAGCCATTTGGTTAAACTACCTTATTTATGCAAGACGTCGAAATTCAAATTTTTTATAACAGGTATAATGAAGTTATACCTTAAGCTTAACGGTATAAACAATATTTTACAAACGACTTACTTTTATGATGTCTGCTATTAATCAGTATAGAAAAATTTATCTAATTTTTGGGGTTAAAAGTTCACAGTTTGTATTTGGCCAGCATGCAGTTTGAGTTTGAGGTCACTGCTGCAAGGGATGACATAAATGTGTTGAAGTGTCGAATAAAAGAGGAATCTCTAATTCTTAGCCAAATTTGCAGATTTTTTTAGATAACCAATCAATTGATTTCCGATAGTGTAAGGGAATAGGGGCATACAATTCGATAAATAATTATATTTTCAAAAAATATAAAGCTTACTTCTTGTTCCAAGCAGATATATTTTATTTTTCGCAATTTAGAAGGACAAATGCGTTTTATTTCACTAAATTAAGAAAACGTATCTTACGCTTTTTCTGGGGGTGGTGGGGAAAAAACTCAATAAGTTAACAGTTCAACTATGCCATGTAAAATCTGAATCACAAGCAAATACTTCTTCATAGAGCGAACAAGCGTACAATTTTCAATAATTTCAAAAACATATCATAGACTTGCGTTTCGACAGACATTATTTGCACCTAGAAACTAGTCCTTCATTGGAAAGCCTTGAAGTGTTTAGTAGGATGCACTACGATTTCTAAAGATCCGTACTTCTGTAGGGTAGGTTTTATGAGAAATCGTAGCAGTGGAAGCAGAAAGCGCTGTTCGATGTATGAAAATCGTCATGCAATGGTCTATATTGTCCTTTCTGACCGTGTAGAAAACGACTTAAGTTTTGGAAGGGTTGATTGTGAGCCGCTGATTTGGTTCTAACTGTCCTAGTAAAATCTTGATCTAGCTATCCACACATGTCTTTAAAGCTGCGATCTCCTCAAGGTAATAAGCTACGTGTGCCTTTCTGACCTCTCTACCTGAATAATAGTGAGAGACTGACTGTATATTGCCTAGAACGTTGCTGTTTTTATGGCAATGATTCGGGCTTCGTCGGACTCTATAAGCTACAAATATAGTCGTGAAACCCATCGTCGAAGCATTAAGCTTTGCTTCCTATATAGATATAAAATATCATAAATGTTCCGACAAGAGAAAAGCCTCTGTTTGTGCGATCATTTTCGTAAGCAATGTATACGATTTAGTTCTGTATGAGTTCCAAAATCAGTATGTATTTTTAATAATGCCAATTTATTTTAAATGATTGGTATTTCAGGGAACTAAGTAGTACTTTCATGTGATTTTTTTTCATGCAAATTACTTATCTACTTCTTGTATCCTGTACGTATTCTGATACAGCATATCAGCTTGATCTGCCATATTGTAATGATTTATGATACATGCTATCAAATATACTTTAAATTGAAATACTGATCAAAATAAATTTGAATAATATCAAAACACATATGCATTTATTGCATAGCACCTAATAATAATGGTATGCTAATTATCAGTATCACATAATACGTACATACGTTTTGAGACTCACAGTCTTAGTAAAATATTAATGTATATATAAATACATGACAGCAAAAGTTAAAAAGTAATAAGATTGTTGTATATTGTAGCAATTTTGCTTTATTCTGGGTAGCAGTTTTCCAACTGTATGCTAATATTAGATGTTCCAATGTTATCTGAAATATATGATATGCTATGAAAGTTATGTAGGTGATGTGTTTCATAAAATTAAATAAAAATACCTAAAAGGGATGAATTTTTAACTTCAATTTTTGAAAACGTTTAACGTCAATTTTAAATTTAACTTAAATTTACAATTTTTTGAAGATATGCACGCAGAAGGTACATCATATGAATGATTGAACTAAAAAAATATTATAATATTTCATTTAAAAAATATAATTTAGCAATGGATCGTCAGTTTACTTTATTGCAATTTAAGGTTCATATTAATTTTATAACAGTTATTTTAATTTTGAAACCCTTTCCTTTCAGTTCTTGTTTCCACTTACAACTCCCTACGAGAAAGAAGTTTTAAAATGAGTTTAAAATGCAATTGAGTTAGAAGAAGTACTTAAGGAAAGTTTAGCTTTCTACGACAGAGAGTGCTAGAAGTCCTTAGTGGCGCGTGTTTTCCTTATGTCTGAGTCACTCTTGAAGCTCTTACTCTCGGCCGTATTATACGTGCCTATCGATATTCGCCGACTAGTTTAATTTAAGGGCCAACTACTTTAGATAATTGTGTCTAGCTTCGGCTAAATCTCGTTTAGGTAATTTCAGTTCAGTTTCCTATACTGAGTTAAAGCCCGAGTAGAGGCTTTCCTGTAAGCTCGAGGAGGGGCCAATTTGTATTCTTATTTGAGCAAATATAAAGGTATTTTAACCCTTCTTGAGTCTATTTCTTAGTTGTTCTGAACTCAACGATAAGTCGCTACTTAGTTCACTAAGTTCATCACCCTGTTTCATCATAGAAAAAGTGCGAGGAAAGCTACAGCATAATTAATTTTAACTTGTTTTAAGCGGATTTTTGTGTCATTTAAATTTAAAAAAATATTCTTTCAGCACTTTCTCTGACTTTAAATAATAGGAAATAATACTACAATATTCATGATTTATTTATTTCAAAATAACACACAATATACATTCGAGTGCGTTACATCCAAATCACACTTTATTAGTTATTTTTACATACACATATACAATGAATTACAAATAAATATTTTCATATAAGTTTAACTCAATGAACAAGAAATCGCAACAAAAGCAGAGAATTAAACAAATAATGAATAAATGTTTTACTAATCTTGAATGCATCCAAAATATGAATAGGGCTTAGAAGCGTAAAAATGTCTTGTCAAATTTCTACAGAAACAAAAATATTTCATATGGCCGTGTTGATATGCTTTGTAAAATACAACAAGATTCTCACATTAATTTATTTAAAATCTTTTTTATAAATGTATTTGGCTTATCATTTCTGTTAAATATACATACATATATTTTTAATGAATATTTCAGTTCTTTCAAGGTAATATAACAAAATTAATTTCGAAGATAGTTATTTAACTGCAGAAATTGTTTTCATATTCTTGGGAATTCTAAATACTAAGATGTGTAATGATGAAACAATAAAATCAGAAAAAATATCTTATTCGGATGATATCGATTCTAATTGGTTTCCTGTTCTAAACGGGAATAAAACAAATTTCGTATAATCAAGATCTTGAAGCAAAAATTATTTATTAATATTAACAGTCATCCTTTCTGATTCATTCACATTACATTTCCTTTAAATACTGATATAATTATAGCGTAATATAAATTAATTTTTGGATTAATTTTATAAAGATAAGTTATTAGTAAAAAGACTTAATTACTTGATTTCTGAAGGGTAAAACAATACACGCAGGATTGAGATTGAAATCCTATTCAGATTGTTAAATAAATAGTTGAAAATTTTAGAATTTTTTACTACGATTACTTACTATTGTGTATTAAAGTATATACGTTGAAAATTTATACATATTATTCAATATTGTTTTTATATTTATTAAACAATAAAAGTAAAAAATAAGTGAGGCATTATAATATCTATAGTTTAGATTTCAAATGAAATAAATGCATCTTAATAATAACGCTACTAAGATCTAATTGAACTATTAGGTTTCACATTGGATGAACTTTTAGATTTATCTTCTCAACCAAACTAGAAATAATAGATTCTCGACAGTTAATAAATGAGCTAACAACGACATTATAAAATATCAATAATAAATATATTGCCATTAGATTTAAAAAATAATGTAATGCATTTAGTATAACTGCATTAATGTTTAATGAGTAACTATAAATTAATTTAAGCAAATGAAGAATTTAAAAAAGATGCAAATATTTTAAAACAAATCATGGAAACACTAAATTTAAACATTTATTATTACACTTATAGAAAGTAAACATCTAATGTCATGGTCTCACATCACACGTTTATGCATTTTTCAACATATGGACGACACAATAATTGACGCCGATATCTTGGCAGTTTCTTACATTTGGTCAGGAATGTAAATTCCTTGGAAATCTGTAAAAAAAAGCAGTTTTATTAAAGATTTCAAAATATATGTGAGCTTAATTTAATAATAAAATAAATGAAATTAGTCACTGGTTTCTAATCTTTTAAAATTGCTTTAATCAGAATATGAGATATCCTTCCCCATCAAAATGCTTTACTGAAACCATATTCTTGCATAACGTAACATTTTAAGAAATAACAAGATAACGTTCAACTTTGCTTTTAGGTTTAAAGAAAAAATATCTACTGCGTTTTACCTCAAAATATGTTATTAAATTACTTAATTACCATTTATTAACTGAACTCTCAGGATGGAGAAAAAGATAATTTCTGAACATAAGTTGGACAATCTTATTTTCTTCAGAAAAGTGTTCAAATTAGAAGCTTAAAGCGGCGTTCAAAGTACCGTTGCACTATTTACACATGGAAATGGAAAGACTTGCTTACTATTTCGTAGACTTCTGGTGTCGTATTCATCATTTTTGCTAAAGAACGACTTTTGCCATGATAACTTCTTGGGAATTTACAGGTGACTTGTACACTAATACTTTCACACGCCGCCCTGCCAGAAGTTAAATCCAGTGGATTTAGGTCTGATGAGCGTGGATGCCACAGGTTTATCAGTCTAAGGTATGTAGGGTATAAAAAGTGTGGGACTACACTAGTAAAGTATACTAGGACTTCATCATGCCTAAACCACTGGTAAGCTGAAGAGCCTGCAAAAGGCTGCTCCCGGAATGTAGGATATGTTATCCTAGTGAGACATTCTGACTGCAAACCCGTCAAGAACTCACCTAGGATAGCTGCACAGAAGGACAGTGAGGAGGAGATTCCTTTCAGCTCAAAGTGTTTGGTGCGAGTATTGAAAGTGCTTTACCAGGAAAACGAGAATTCATTACTGAATAATGCTAAGGCAGAACACTGATGACTGTTAGTTATCGTTTGGAACATATATCTTACGAACTCTAGCCGATGGGAATAGTTATCTGCGTTTAGAGATTAGACTTTCTGCACGCGAAAGGGGAGTCACGTGTAAACTTTCCACGGTATATTAACAACACCAATATCGGATACTACAGCTAGTGATTATTAAAAAAGAATTATTAAAGGAGTTAGTGCAAAAATATCTGAGATCCGTTTTTCGTTTCTGGGGGATTCTAGACTTTGTTTGTGTATTGTATCTGCCTTTGAAATAGCGAACGAGTCAGTTTCATACAATCTCATTCGAATAACAGCGAATGCAGAACGGTGCTGAGTTTCAATGGTTTATGGCAAAGCATACAAAAGCTATCCGCCTTAGAGAGGCCTTTATTGAGCATTTTATAACGTAAACTGTCTCGTAGTCTCGTTACACATGGCAAAAATCACATGCAACCAGCACGTTCACCAGGATATGAAACCAGGTCGAACTACGATTGTTCAGCGATCTTACTACTCTGCCGACGACTGGAAGAATAATATGCAATACAAAGCATCGTAGATTGTTAAAAAACAATTGTTACGCTTTGTGTGTCCTTTCTCAGTTGCTTGACTATACACTGGATACATATCTGTTAAATTTTCATATGTGCAGTTGGTCATGGCCTTCACGAAGTCGATTCAGGAAATACTATCACGGTGATAATATGAAGCATTTAGGATGTGAAAGTTTGCTTCGGATGGCTTTCTGTAGAACGTTGATAAATCAGTCAACTGCCAGTGGTACATCTTTTGACATGAAATTTGCGTATGAAAAATGTCTGACGGTGATGTTATAGAGGTGTGGCACTTTTCCAGTAGAACAAAAATGACGTCAGGAATGATGAAATGAGTTTATTGAACTTGTATCGAAGTTACTCTTTATTTTTGCCTTTCTGAGTGTATTGCAGCTCTAGGTTTCACGATAAATATTTCACTCGTTAAGATAATACTTGTCTTAACGAGTGTTATCATGCCTCTTATTTTATTGAAATAGCTTACGAATGCCTTAGTTGCAGAGTTGCTAGGAATTAAGCAACAATTAATGCCTGAAAATTTCACTGCCGATTGGCTGGCTCTCAAAATCAAAGCATTTTAGATGAAACGGAAAGAAAGCGGATCAATACACCACAAAGACCATGGGAGAACGGCCTTGAATCCTTTGGACAGTGAAACAAATCATTGGTGAAACAAACAATTCATCCACTAATGGCTTTAAGGAAAGAATGACCATTTTTAACACCTGCTGGTTTCATTTGGTTTATTTAAATATGGCAAAGCACGTTAGGCTATCTACCTAAGGGGATTAGATGCCTTTGTGGAAGAATTTCTAAGGAAAACTGCCTCATATATGCGTTATACACGAGGATAAAAATGAAAACGCCTATGCAGCCGTCCCGTTCACCTGGATTTGAGCCCCGGTCGGAAACAGCAGTGTTCAGCGATTTTACCGCTGGGCCGCTGGTGGGCCCAATATCTGCTGATAAAGAACCCTTTTGTATAACGTAGACGTACTAAAGTATATTTTTTTCAGTCAAACTATTCTTTTTATTATTTTTCATTCGATTACAGTAAACGCATAGAGCTAAAAAATGTTTGATAATTATTTTTCCTGTGGTTATCAAAATTATTAGTTTTATCTGAACTAGGCAGAGTATGATTTTATTCTGAAACTCTATGTATGAAATTTTTTAACCCTCTTTTCGTTAAACTAAATGAGATTTGATGACGTTAACTAAATAAATAATGCCGTTGTTTAATGCAGTTTGAAGAATAATTAGATACTCACATATATTAAATTTATATATGGCATTGCTCTAACATAGGCATTTTAATACAAAATGGGACTTTTCCTGAAATAAAATACCATTTTTCCCCATATTTCGATTCTACGATTCAAATTATGCCTAAATTTTAAATTTTGTAAAATTTGCTGCGAAATTTACGGAGAATTGGCCCGGTAGAACGGGACATATAGAACTGTCCCATTGTCCTTGCGCAGTGTACCTAAGATACATGCATATAAAATAATTTTAGAAAGTTTGACAGACAGCTTTGACAACGTCACTGACTGTGCATTCTCGTCAGACTGTGAGAATTAAGTTATGCGGTGTTAACTTTGGGCCAAAGAGTTACTCGCACAGGTAGAGAGAATCGAGCCAATGTTTGTTATGTTGGGCATTTGAACCTCTCCAGAGTTAAATTACGTTGAATTTTAATTGTCTATTTCATATTACCTTGAAATCCTTATTTGTAAGCACAAAAAGTGCTTTGTTAAGTTTTATAAAATTGTCGATTAAACCTTCTTCTGATTCTTTTGTTTTGATAGACAGGGTAAAAAGTGTATAACAATCTCAATAGGGTACAAATCAAGGTATGTAAGGAGTGGAACCTTAGAAACTAATTATTAAATGTTTAGTTCAACTAAATTCCCAGTTCATTATTCTTAGAAATAGACATTTTTATATGCTCAATTAATGAAAGCATTCACTTTGAAGCCAATCGTATGAAAAAAAACACCAAATTAGTAAAATTACCAGATCGAAGTTAGACCTATTTTTCTAAATCTTCCTTCAAAAGTGGTTTTAAATTCATCAATGGTCCACGACTAGCTTCGCTGTTAGGTAACAGCCCTTACTACGTCAAAAAAACTGGTTTAAGGATTTATCTAAATGTTCTAACATTTCAACTTTATGCCACTTGGTATAAGAGACGACCAACCACAGCAAGGAAACATCAGTCGACGGTTTCGTTGAGTCAGCTTCAGTTTTCTTCGTGTTTTAGCAAAAATTTATTAGTTTTTTCAAAAATATAAAATATACAAGTAAATATATTCCTCATTCTTTTTAGCGTTCACAAATAACTATGCGAATATACATCTACAGCTTTTAAAGCCTGAAAAACGCATGTCTGCTATGTTATCGTCATGCAATGATTTGCAGATGCTCTGTATTTAACACGACGTTTTATACGACAATATTTTAAAACTGCGATGTTTTTGAATCGCTTTATTTTTCAACGACGATATTTTATAGCACGATGTTTTCTCTTTCGCTTCTCCCACAATGTTTTGTACAACGACGTTTTCGCCTTGCGTTGTTTTCTCCGTGACGTTTTCGTGTGTAATGTTTTTGACGCGATGTTTTTGGCGGAACCAAAAAATGAGGAAAGATAGATAGTATACAGTTTAGGAAAATAATTCTTTAATATTTTGACTTTGTTTTTTAAATGTATTTTAAAACATTTTCTGTTTTTTCTTTCTATTTTTTGTAGAGTTTATAATTTTTTAGTTCGCACAAATAAATCTCTTTTTAAAGTTGAATAAATAATTCCTTTCTTTATGATTTAAACAACAAAAGAGATTTATACTTTGAAATAAAACTGTATCTATTCAAAGGCACTAGATTTTCCCTAGAATAAAAATATGTAAAATCTAAATTTTAAACGACTTTGAACCCCCCCCCCACTTCACCCGAAATAAAAAAGAATACCACACTTTGAAAATACCTTAATTATAAATGTAAAAATAATCTAACCAAATAGGAAACTAGAATAAAATAAAAGATTATGCTTCTGCATGCTACTCCATTTTCATAGGTCTGGCTTCTCCTCTCTAAACACTAATAACTGAAATACGGTAAAAACGTTTTCAGCATTTGAAGTGACAAAATCCTATGAAACTGATCCCACAAGAGGCCGAAGTTAAAAGGCAAAATGTTCTAAAATTTTACAGGCATTTAAGAGTAAATGGAGAACCTTACGTAAGACGGATTTTTAACGCTAAGGTTTCGACTTTCGGTTTTAAAAAGCACATTTCATTATTTCGGTAAAATGCAAAACGGAAAGTGTATAATAGGCATCATTGTTTATCGAAAAGATGTGCAAAAAATGCCAAAACGAGTGGATACAAAAGTACTAATGCGAGTGGATTAGTTATTTAAAGGCGACATGGGAAAATTTAGAAAATTTTGTTGTAAGGACGTATTTTAGAAAAGAAATGTACCAAGTTTTAAAAAAATGTCATAAGACAGCAGTATATTACTGGATTATAT